AAAAAAAAAAAAGAACTCATTCAAACATTATAACCACCTTATGAGGTGCCCCCATTTTACAGATGAGAACATGAAGACACAGCAGGCAGGTCACATGACTAGAAAATGGGGGAGCCAGGTTTCAAGCCCAGGCCTCCTGGTTCCTGAGCCTGGGCTCTCAGCGGCTGCTCTCAGCTGCCCCTGCTCGCCTCCCTGGCACTCACATGGACAGGCGGTCACACAGCTGGCCCCAAAGGTGTATCGGCCCTCGGGGTTGGGCATGGATTCGAAGGTGTCCGTGTTGTAGGTGACCAGGGCTGGGCAGTGCAGCTCACAGATGCCACTGTGGTTGAAGTGAAGGCAGGCCTGGGGGGCGACGAGGGGGACAGGGACAGGCAGCTGGTGGTCACCGGGCTGTTCTTCCCTGGGGTGCAAGGGGCAACAGGGCCATAGCAGGTGGGGGGCCCCTCCCCTCGAGCCCACCCTGGGGCCCCACGGGGCACATACCAGGCAGTCCGAGTGCTTGGGGCCTGTGCAACCCGCTGCACACTGCTCGTGGCAGCAGTCAGTGGGCTTCGGGCCCTTGCAGCGGGCACAGCCTCCAGCACAGACCGTTCGCGTCACTGTCACACAAGGGGCAGGATGAGGCCGGGGCGGTCGCCCGGGCACCAGACCCTCCCCGGCCTCACTCTTCTGCCATGACCTCCCGCTCCAGGGAAGACGCTGAGGCCTGGTAACCCCCGCCCCCGCCCCATGCCCCCTTTATTCCACTCGGTCCCCCCTGCCCCCAGATTCTAGGCCTCCCTAAGACTCACAGCTCTGACAGTCCCCGGAACTTGCTCCCCAGCAGTGGGGGTCTTTACAAGCTGGAGAACACGGTGGGCCTGGGGAGAGAAAGAGGGTCTTTCCAGGAGGCAGAATGCACAGTGAGGGAGAGACTCGGCAGGAACAGAGAACTCTAGGCGCAATCTGGAAGCAGAGGGAGGCAGGACGGAGGGCCACAGAGATGAGGAGACACGGAGAGACTTGGCAGGGGAGGAATGGGGCAGAAAGAGGAAATGGGCAATGTTAGGGCAGGGGTGGGGAATGGGGGCGGTGTACGCCAGGAGTTGGGGTCGCCGGGCTGCCCGAGAAAGAGAGGAAGTGGCAGGCAGGGAGTGGCATGGCTTACAGGCCCGAGAGCGGTTGGTGTCTATCAGCATGAGCGCAAGCTGGTTGTTCTTGTGGAAGATGTCCTTCCACAAAATCGTGTCCTGGTGGCAGAGCTGTGGGTTCCGCTGAATCAAGACCCCTCCCTTCAGGATCTCTGTGGAGTGAGTAATAATCAGCGCCTTCCTTTCCTGCCTGGCACCTTCTGCCCTCCCATGGGACCCCCCTGACTTTAGAGAGGAGCAGGCCTCGTAAATCCGCCCCAGTTTCCCCGAGGATTAGAGAAGACACCAGCATCTTCTAGCTCTACCAGCCCCCTTCCCCACCACCCCCCCACATGAACAACCTGGGATCCAGGGAGGGGTGAGTCGTCCATGACCCGGTCCAGATGTCCATGCCCCTCTCTCCTGTCCTCCCGCCTCTACACCCTGTGCACACTGCTTCGTGGTTAAAAGAGACTCTGGAGTCTGAAAACCAGCCTCACCACTAACTAGCTATGTAACCTTGAACAAGTCACTCATCCTCTGTAAACCTTTTACAGTTTTCTCATCTGGAAAAAGAGCGTAACATTGGTGCTTCCTTGCAAGATGACAGCACCAAGATGGGATCCTGTGTGCAAAGTAACCAGCCACAGAGTCTGGGATACTGTCAGCTCCGGGGCTGCCACATACAGTTACACAGGTTGTTCACTGCAGATGGGTACTCGGCCAAGAAGTGGAGAAACCCCAGCCTGTATCCTCATTATCAAACTGTGCAGGCTCGTACAAGCTGTGACTTCCTGGGAAGAAGGGAAACCTTTTTCTGATCTTCACCATGGCACCTTCCCTAGCTCCACCTGCATCTGTCCTGAAGGGATATGAGTTCTAATTCACATGAAGCCTCCCATGGCTAGAGGTGGCCCTTGCCAGCTCCCAAGAGTGAGAAAGTGTCGGTGACAGTGATGACCACCTGTGAGGCTTCGAAGCTGCAGCTCCCGCAGCCCTCCTGGGGCAGCCCCTGCCTCAGAGGCGCCCCCCTCGGGCGGCTCTCCATTGTCCAGCACGGCCAGGGCGTAGTTGTCCTCAAAGAGCTGGGTGCCTCGCACGATTCGGAGCCTCTGCAGCGGGACCTGTCTCACTTGGCTGTGAGCAATGAGCACGTAGCCCTGCACCTCCTGGATATCCTGGGAGGGAAGAGGGTCAGGTGGGGCTGAGGCAGGCCTGGGCCCTGGAACACTACCAAGGCCTCCTCGGGGTTACCAAGGGCTTGGGGATCTGGGGCCAAGTCCCCGTCCACTGAGAAGTCCAGCTCTCTCGGGCATAAAGTAGAGATCAAGGCCCCTCTCCACCTCCTCAAGCCAGATTCTGTAGGGTCAAGACAGATAACCACTCTGTGAACTGAGAGCAAGCGCCCCACCCTCTCTGCATCTCAGCTTCCTCGGCCATGAAAGGAAAGACCCCGCATCATGCACGTGGCCCCACTCCGGGCCACGGTGACCACAACCCAGCAGGCTGGATCCCGCTCTCTCCCCTGCTCATGACCCTTTCACACACATTTCCCATTTGATGGTTTCCCAGAGGGGAGTCAAAGTGTGCTTATTGCTTCCAAAGCCAAGGGCCGAGACCACATTCACAGGCCTTGTCAGTAGCAGAACGGGATCTAGAACCCACATCTCTCAGCTGCCCGCTCGCCACCCCAGGCAGGACAGGGACAGCGGCTGGGGCAGGGGGACAGGGGGAGGGGATCATGCTGGCAAGAGAGCAAAAAAATTTAGCACAGAAACAGGGGCATCCACCCCACGATGTCCGTGGCCCGCCATGTCACAAAGAGGGAGTCAACTGGTCTTGCAGTAGAATAGACAGGGGGCAGACATCAGAAAGGACGTCCCAGTTGAGGAACCACGAGAGGAAAGGGAGGGCACCCTCTTCTCCCACCCACTTGTCGGCATAGGGCTCCGCTCAGCTGGAGGCTGGGCCTGGCTGGATCACCCAGGGGCCTCACCTGCAGGAAGGACAGGCTGGCATTGGCAGGCAGGTAGGTGAGCTCCAGGTTACCCTGCACCACTTGACAGGCCTGGTAGAGGTGACGGAGCATATCCAGGTGCGTCTCGGGACTGGCTGGGAGCCGCAGCTTCATGTCTGTGCCGGTACACACTGGTGGGAGGGAGGGTATGGGTCAGAGGGCACTGCCCAGGGAGCTTCTCCAACCTGGCGCCTCCTCTACAACCCCCCCCAGAGAGTCGTGCCATCTCGGACCCCTCTTCCCATGTCCCTTGCACCTGCAAGAGGCACAACAGCAAAAGAAGGTTTGCAAGTTGGGGAAGAGGAGGGATATCCAAGGAGAGGCCCCTTCTAACTTGGCCCATCCTGAGCATCCAGAGGGGGCCCCATTGTGCCAGCCCTGGGGAGCTTGCCCGCCTGATCCAGGGTGTTGGCTGGCAAAGAAAGCCTCCCTTTGTCCCAAAGGCCCGACTCAAGGCCAAGGGGTAAAAATCCCCCAAGAGAGGCCATGATGAATCATGAATCTTCTGGATACCCCCTGCCCCTCTCCCAAGCAAACAAACTCGGGGCATTCTCCCCACCCCATTCCAATACCACCCACATGCCAACCGCTTGGCAAGGGATATCCACCCCCACAATGCCACCCAGAAAGTAGGGAAGGAGGGTCAGCTAGAGTCATAGCTGGGGCATGGGGACCCCTAGGGGCCTGGTCACCACAGGGACCTCTGGAATTCCCCTAGGCAGAAAAAAAGGAGCATCAGACCCCAACAATGGGCATCCGGACCCGGGCTACGGATCCTGGGCCAGAGCAATGCCTCCTCTAAGGGCTCCGATGCTGGTACTTCACCCCGGCCTCCTCCTCAGGGCAGGGCTCCAGAACCAGCTGGCAGAATCTGTGCCACGAAACGCCTGCCACAAGGGCACCACGTGAGCCCTGCGTACCTGCCCGGCGCCGGCCATCAGCCAAGGGGCATCGAGATGAACGGCCTCCCCAGCCCACCTGCACCCCAGCACAGTGTCCCTGAGACCGGAAGGGCCTACGAAGCCCAGGGACATAAGAAGGGGTACGCCACCCCCAGTGAGGGGCTACTGTGGACAGCCACTGGCACTGTGCCTGCCAGCAGGGGGGAGATTAAAGTGCCCAGTTGAACTCGTTTTTCTGCTCTGGTGAGAAGATGAATCACCTGGCGCGTCTTGCCCAGGAAGGTGTGCCGGGCGGAGGGGGGTGGCGGGTGGAGGGCGTCCCCAGAGACACAGGCCCACAGGTGCCGCACCACCTCGATTTCCCGTGGGCCGCCACCCCACCTGCCACAGCCTACAGGGGGACAGCAGTGGCTGACTCCAAGGTCTGACACCAGGGCTCCTGCTCTCCCAGCAACTTGGAGCCTGAAGTCCAATCCTAGGGGTGGGGGGGTAACAAGAGATACCCTCTGCCTCCAGAACGCTGGGCAAAGGCTGGTGGGGCAAGCCCCTCGGGTTCCTGCCTGGGCCAATGGGCCATGAGCTGACAGCCTCCCAGTAAAAGCCAGAGTGGTCTCTTTTCCCACCCCTTTCGACAGATAGGGAAGGAAGCAAAGAGGGAGGAAGGAGAGGGCCCAGAAATAGAATTCAAGGGTCCCCCCCCCCCACCCAGACTCCCAAGAGAAACAGGAGCTGGGGGTGGCAGGCCAGGACCAAAATAACGCCCGCTGCTAGGGCCTCCTGCAGCCTCGGCAGCCTCAGCTGCTTTGTAGGCACAGCTGTCTTTAGGCCCAGACCCCAAAGCTCTGGCCCAAGCCCGGGACAGGGACAGGCAGAGCTGGGGGAGAGGCTGTCTCCACCCCCTGTGGCCCTCTGCCACCTCTGAGGGACACCAGCTGCAGCAACCAGGCAATAGGAAAACATCAACAATGGGAACACCGAGGCCAGCCACATTAACTGAGCACCTACTGTCTGTGGCCAGGCTGTCCGGGTGGAGCCTCATAACGTCCTCCAGAGGCTGGGACTGCAACCTCTGTCTTGCAAAGGAAGCCGAGGCCGACAGGGCTAATTCTCCTGAGATCATAAAGCTCGTAAGAGATAGAGGCAGGATTTGAACTTGAGTCTATCTGACTTTAGATCCTACATTCTTAACTGGACACGGACAAATTCCCCCCACGCCCGGTGCAAAGGGAAATACACACCAGGTCTATTGATGTCACTGATAAACATACAGGCTCTGGGCAGGGCAGGGTGGCTGGGCTGAGCTGAGGACCAGAAAGAGCGGTAGCCCCGCCCCACTAGTGAGTTTGTTTGTGGCTGATTTCAGTCTAAGATTCTTTAAGTGTTTGCAACAGGTGGTCAAATTGGTTCGGAGACCTACTCTCCCAGAGAGCTGGAGGCTTGCGGGAAAATTCCCCCACCAAGCTGACATGAAGCCAAGAAGGGCCTCTTGACACCTCCCCTACCTCTCCACCTCTGTCCCCTTCACCATGAAGCTCAGCCCCTCCCACCCACTTCCCTTCTCCTCACCAGTCTCCTCCTCTCCAGTCCTCACCGGTCCGCATATCCACCCAGCCTCCACTGATTTTCGGGGCGGGGGGTTGGAAGTCCTGTTCTACACAGGAGGGCTCTGGGTCTCCAGGACACCGGACTTTCAGGAGCCCCAACCTCCAGCTCTCTGGCTCAGCACTATGAGGCAGGACCAGCCCAACACCAGGTAAGAGTTTGCTGGAAGGATGGATGGATAGATGGATGAGTGAAATCCATTCAAGAACTCCCAAACCAAAAGGGACCAGTTGAAGTAGTGGTGTCCACCCCTCTGCTCAAAGGCTGTTCAGGGTCCTTCATACCCCTCTGGCTGAACTTCAGTTCGGCCCCCGCTCTGGGGGTGCTCTCAAGAGGGTTCCTTCCTCCCCACCAGACTTCAGCCCCAGATGCTTCCCTTGCTCATCAGCAAGAAATACTTCCTTTGGTTTCCATGAACACTTCCTGCACCCCCAAAACTCACCTCCCCCAGACCCAAAGGGTAAGGGCCCATTCTAGGGATGCCCAGAACTCAGCCACCACACACACCTGGTGTATCAAGGCCAATATCAGACGAGGGCCTGGGCTCAGGGTCATTAAACCAGAACCCTAGCCGGGCTGCTCCCGTGTGACCTTGAGCAAGTCCCTGGACCTCTGGGGCAGAGTCCATATCAGATTCATCTCTATGCCCAGCAGTGCCTGTGACTTTGTAGGCACTCTCAGTATTAATGACCTGAACTTGGCTGAAAGGATGGGATAATAAAACAATAACAACTCTTACTCTCTGCAGAGAAGTTAAATGACAGTTAAATGAGATAATCAAAAAGCAGTCTGTAAACACGACAAGGCTTTGTAAACAGAACTGAGGCAACACAAACATTGGCTATAGTAATTCTCCCACTCCTGAAGAGCACACACCCCTCGTCCTGTGTGGGCTCTCTTCCCAGGGGTGGGGAAGAAAGGTGGCCCCAGCAAGAGATGGAGGTGTCACCCCAGAGGGTCTTCCGACAGGCAGACAGTGTGGGGGGATCTCTTTCCAGATCATTTCAGCACCCAGGGGCAGGCACAACTGCCTGGGCCCTCCTCCAGCCCCCCACCGCAGCCCCCTACTGGCTCCTCATGCTTCTACTCCAGCTGTCTCCCTCACCCACAGCCCTGCAGCCCCCCCTGGCTTCTGCCCTGTCCCTGCTCTCAGTGCCTGCAGGGCACGAGAGGAAAGCAGGCATGGGCTGGACAGGGAGGGAGAGGACCTCGGTGGGCCCGGCTCACTCCCCTTTCTATAGCCTAGATAAAGGAGATCACTCACCCGAATTAGAGTAGCACCTCTACCCCAGTCTGGCTACCTGGCTGCCTCTGAGGCTTTGCTCACCCCATTTCTGTTGAATAGGATAAGACTTCAACCAACTCTTAATGCCTCCTCATTACACATTATTATTGGGTCTAGACATATTTGGGTCACTAGGAAGCCTTGGATAAGTCACTTCACTTCTTTGAACCGTGTGTACCCACTTCACTGGATTGTTGCAGAGATGAAATGAAACCGTCCATGGAAAAGAACCTGGCATATGGGAAGCACATCACACATTTTTTTTTTACGTTAAGGCAAGATAAGTCATATAGCAGGAGTATGGGTAATTCCAAACCATGAGAAAATAAAAGGTGCCTTTGTATTTGGAATGTGATGTATTTTCTCTTTTTGCATTTCATTCTAGCTTTTCAACTGTTTTTTTTTTTTCCCTTGAACATTAAAATGAAGTTACTTTCCCCAAGTATAGTAAAAAGGAAGCTGCTGGAAGAATCGTCTGGGAATGAAAATATGAGCTCTGCAAGATAAGAAGTAGGTGTTTGCTGCACTTGACAAAACTTTGACCTCTAAGAACGGATCCTAGGGGCACCTGGGTGGCTCATTCGGTTAAGTGGCTGACTCTTGATTTTGGCTCAGGTCATGATCTCAGGGTCCTGGGATCGAGCCCCCACATGGGGCTTGGCACTCAGCGGGGAGTCTGCTTGAGATTCTCCCTCTCCCTCTGCCCCTCCCCCTACCTCCCCCCTCCCCCCCTCTCTTTCTCTAAAATAAATAAATAAATCTTTAGGAATGGATCCTGGCAAAATCCTGACCTTCTGGGTCCTCTCCGTCTCCTCTTTCTCCCAAATTCCCGCCCTAGCCCTCAGCCCTGGGATACAACAGGGGTGCTGGAGGCAGCTGGGCGGGGCGCTTCCATTGCAACCATTTTCTACCTGACACGCCCAACATCTGTCTTTGCACCCAGCAGTGCCCATGGAAGGGTGAGATCCACCTGAGGAGGCCCTAGTCGTCGGTGGGAGAACTGAGCCCTTGGATCCCAACACTGCAGCAACCCAGGCCACCTCCACCTGCTCAATGCGCAGGCCCAGGTGAGGGAGGCAGCAGCTCGCTCTCACAGTGCAGCCCGGCCTCAGCCATCTCAGCAGAAGGTCAGGGCTGAGAAACAGGGAGAAGGATGGGCTCCCAGGAAAGTGGAGCCTCCTTCCTCAGAAAGAAGGCGTGGGGCCACCTCCCGCTGTTTACAGCAGATCTGGCCCAGCACCTTGAGCGAGTTCCTTGAGAGGGCAGAGTTCAGCGAAGTCCCCGAGCCAGCAGGGAGACTGCTGTTTGGCAACACAAAGCCCAGACACACACACAGGCCACACAACCCAGGAACACCCTGGCATAGACGTCCCTCAGATAACCCAGCAATGCTCAGACAGAGGGGCCCTCGGGCAACACACAGGAGGACACCCACCCTTTCTCCAGACTCCCTGACCAACGGAGACCACCCACTACTCCCAGGACACTCTCATTTTGTCTTCCCCGCAACCCAGGGATGCAGGCAGCGGTGTCCGCCATTGTCCAAGGTAGACTGATACAGTGATTTCAAACGTGTGGTTGGGGGGGTCGCAGCGTCTGGGATCCAGTCTTGGACCCACCACTTCCTTGATGCTATTTAGCCTCTTTAAGCCCAGGTTTTCACCTGGAAATGGGAATACTAGTAGGACTCCTCTTGTAGGGTTGGTGTGAGGATTTAAAGGAGGGAATGCATGCAAACCACCATGCACCGTGCCTGGCCCAGAGTATATTTCCAGCCCACGTTAGCTTTAATTGTCAGTGCATCTAGATGGGCAAGTGGGGCTTAACCCACACTGCCTCCACCACCACGCTTCCCCACACACGGCATGAAGGGAAAGGCAGGACAACCCAGCCCCCTGCTTACCCGCATCTGGCCCTATTTCTTTAGCTTTCCTTCTCCACCCCACCCCCCACAACTGCCCAGGAATCCCTCGCTTGAAACTCTGGCACTCTATGCCCCAGACCAGGAGACCCACCACCACCCCTCCGTGGCCCACGCTCTCCAAAAGTCACAAAGCGCACAGTCCCTGAGCTGGCCCTAAAGAAACTTGCTCAAAACAAACGTCTCCCCCTCCCCCCACCTCAGACTCCAGCATGAGGCAACTCTGCAGTCGGACCGGCCACTCTCTCCCGCCCGGCTCTGGCCGGACAGGTTGTTTTCCCCCCCACCCCACCCCCCCCCACACACACCCCGATCCCGCCTGAAGCTGGAGGATCTAAACTCTACCGGCTGCGGGGAGGGGGGCGGGGGGAGGGGCAGAGGGACCCCCCCGAGGAATCCAGCCCAGTCCAGTCTGGAGGCGGAGGCTGCCAACTGGAAAGGCTTTGAGAAAGTTTGGAGGGGCTCAAGAAAGGGGAGAAAACACACACACACACACACACACACACACACACACACACACACACCCCGCGCAGTACTCTGAGGGCAAACTTTCTGAACAATTTCAGAGAACTTTTGTGACAAGTTCCCAGAGCCGTCGCGGAGTCCGGAAAGCGCCAGTCTCTTGACTGGGACAGCTAGAGCGGCTTGGGCGTCCTCGCCCCCTGCCCCACCTTCCTTTGGCCCCCTCCCTGCCGAGGCCGGCGGCCGGGCGCGCCGGGAGCGTCCGAAACTGCGGATCGGGAAGCTCGTGTGGCCCCCTCTGCCCCCGCCTGCCCGGGGACTTGGGCGGGGAGGGGGGGGGCGCCGGGCTGCAGGGTCGCGTCGCTGCTCCGCGCCCTCCCCACGCCAGACCCACCTTGGGTGCCCGCGGCTCCGGAGGGCAGGAGGGCGAGGAGGAGCCCCCAGCGGCACCAGGCCGCCAGCTCCATGGTGCTCACTGCGGCTCCGGCCCCATGGCCCGGGCTGCACCGGGCTGCGAAGGGGCCGGGCGGCTTGCCTCGGGGCTCTGCTTGGCTCTCGGGGTACGACGCAGGGGACTCTCAGCTCCACAACTTCATTCTTGTACTTCCTCAAGGCAGCCCTCCTCCTCCACCTCCTCCGCCTCCCGTGATTGGGAGCGAGCGCGCTCACGGCTCGCCCCCCCCACCCCCTCCACCGCATTCCAGCGAGTCCCTGGGAGTGGCAACTCCCAGCTTCACTTTCTCCCTCGGCGCGCAGGCCTGGGGTGCGCCCCTCCCGGCGCCCGGACGCCGGGGTTGCCTGCGCGCTTCTCACGCGTTCCCACGGAGAACCCTAAGGCAGGGGACGGCGATCGCCACCCCCCAACACACCCACACCGGGGGGGAGTCTGGGGCAAATGCTTCAGGCTGCCATCCTTAACGTTCCTTTAAGTCGCAGGTTTTACTGTAGACGTTCCCGGCAAGACGTTTGCATCCTACTCCACCATACGCCTATTTTTAAAAGTATCAAATATTGGTTCTCCCACCACATCCTCAAATCAAATTGATAGTAGAGGAGGTGGGTGGGGTGCGCTCAACTCGTGGCTTCCGGGACTCCCTGGCATACCTTCTCGAATCTTTTAGGTATCTTTTCCAGTCTGAAAAGCACAGTTTTAATTACGGGGGTCTACACGTTTGGAGGAGGGTCAAATCGGAGGCTCACCCATCTCAATCTTTCGGAGAACATTCTTCTGTTGGGTTTAGGGGGGGGACACTCAGCACCCAATTCATCCAAAGTTCCTTTCCTGTCCCTTGCTTTTTACTAGCGTGTTCAATTCCGCCTCCCCACTTGGCATTTTCCATCTGGAGCCCACCTCTCCCCCTTCTTAAGGTCCAGTGGCGGATGGAGTGGGGGTGACAGAAGGAAGGTGTGTTTCCGTTGGAAATTACAACCAAAAATGCATGGGACATACTTAATTAACACATTATTCGGTTTTTTTGTTGTTGTTGTTTTTATTTTTTTATTTTTATTTTTTAAAGATTTTATTTATTTATTTGAGACAGAATGAGAGAGAGAGAGCACATGAGAGGGGGGAGGGTCAGAGGGAGAAGCAGGCTCCCTGCCGAGCAGAGAGCCCGATGCAGGACTTGATCCAGGGACTCCAGGATCATGACCTGAGCCGAAGGCAGTCGCTTAACCAACTGAGCCACCCAGGCGCCCCTGTTGTTGTTGTTTTTAAGATTTTATTTATTTTTTGACAGAGAGAGACACAGCGAGAGAGGGAACACAAGCAGGGAGAGTGGGAGAGGGAGAAGGAGTCTCCCCGCCGAGCAGGGAGCCCGATGCGGGGCTCGATCCCAGGACCCTGGGATCATGACCTGAGCCGAAGGCAGACACTTAACAACTAAGCCACCCAGGCGCCCCACATTATTCGTTGTTTATCTGGAATTCAAATTTAACTGGGCATCCTTATTTTTTATTTCCTATATCTGGCAACTCTAGTTGGAATGCCTCAGCCAAGAGCAGAGCATGCCTGTGCTGGTCAAGAGGGGATTGGAGGCATCTACTGAGGACGGTTGAATGAAGGACACTAGCATTTCTTAAGCTGCTTTCAGATTTCCTAGCAGGGTTATAGGCAGCCATTTTCACAGTAGGGGGGTTGTGATCAGAACGACCTGGGTTCAAATCTCCAATCTGCCACATATTAGCTGTATGACCTTAGGCAAATGACCAAGCCTCTCTGGGTCTCAGTTTGCTCCCTTGTAGAATAGCATCTGGCATCCTGTACTAGGAATTAAAGAAGGTAAAGTTCCTGAAGCACTCCGAACAGTATGTAGCACAAGGTACTTGCTCAATAAAGTCGCAGGTTTACTTATACTGGGGCAGATCCAGGTTTGGTGGTGCCGGAAGCTTATGAAATTTGGGGGACTCTCTCCAAGATAAGAAA